ATCATTACATAGGAACCCATATATGGCCTTTTTATTTAGAATATATAACATTATTTCATAAGTCTGTGAAATACAGTGAATGTTGCAAAATGGGAAATGGGGTAAATAAAGGTGGTATTTTGGTTTGGTTTGGAATTTTACTGTGTCAGAAGTTTCTGAGTGTCTAATTTGACATGGGAAGAATCACTACAAAATTTTTTATTCAGAGTGAGTCCTTTTGCATATCCCCTGAAACTATACTAAGTGAAAATTGTTTTTGTGATTGTATGTGCACCAGACCACATTGTTTACTCTGCTGTCAACCTACATTTCTGAGTCTGAGCTGCAAACATTTTATCAGAACCATTGCAATTGTCATCTTCCAACTTTCATTGGTACAAAATGAGTCTTTATAACTTAAAAAGTTACTGTATTTTTTAAGGAGTCTCTTCAAATATGTGTGAATTTATAAGCAAGTGAGGCATTTGAAATAAGTATCTTTGCATTTTTAATTTTTTCTGATGTCTTTATCCACCCTTACTATATATGCCTAGAAAGAACACAACATGATATGATTTTAGGCTATTTTTATTTTGAACTAGTAACCTTTTTCATATTCAGGCATATGATGTTTTCATATTCAGGCAGATGAAGTTTAGTGCTAAATTGAATTATTTTATACTAGGAACTTTCATACACCCCAAACAGAGAATCTAGAAACAAATATCAGGGTCTGCATCCTCTATGTATCTTGTGCATAGTAAGTTCACATGCTCAGCTAGCTGTAGTTGGACTGCAGACATCCTATTAGCTCTCCCTGTAAAGAAGGTTAAGTCTTATCCTTGTATTCACCTTTTCATAGAGGAGTATGTCCATAAAAATGTCTCTAGACAAGAATAGTTCACAGTAGCTGTGGAAAAAAGGGGGCTGAAGTAGTAATTTCAAAAGTATTTTGTCAGTCATTTTATTTGAGTGCAGACAAAAAGTATTACATATCCTTAAAGTACAGCACAGAGAACAGAACAGCAACTTGAAGACAGATAATTCTATAACATGATGAAATGTGAATAAATTAATTCCATTCACTCTTTCAGAATTCTACTTAAACTTTATTTTAAAAATATACCCTCAGTGTAGAGGCGCAGAGGGAAGAAAAAAATGTCTTGTGCTTGTGCTAACATATTCAAATGTTCCAATAAAAATTTTTAATTTTAGTGTCACTTGAAAAATATATTTTATGGAGCCATAATGTGCAAAAAAACTCCACTTCTATTTGGATAGTGGTAAACCATCTCTCATTTCAGAAGTTCTTGTGCCCCCTGAGGGGACAGCTTGACTGTTCATTGAAGCAGCAGCCTAATTTCTATGGGGTTAAACTCTGTAAAACAAATAAATGCAAGCTCAGTGTGTTAAGGGTGACCTAGCAATAAATTCAATTTTCCATTGTATATTAGGAGTGTAACTTGCAGCAGTTTAATAGTTGTCACTTCGGCTTCTCAAGAGTCCCAGCAAGAAGTGCATAACAAGTAAGCGATGGTGGGAGCCCTGTGCTCATGATTAATAAAGCTTGTGGTACTCTTCAAAAGTCCATGTAACGGGTATCTCCGAGTCTGATTTTTTTTTTTTTTTGGCTTGACAAGGTATAAAAATTCACTATTAGTATCAGTATCTGGTATATAAATAAAAAATACTTGCCTCGTTCTTGCATTTAAAAGGTAATACTGCAGCAATTTTTATGATGCCCTTAAGAGAATTTAAGTGCAGAAATATGAGATGCTGATTTAAGTGAATTTCACTTATTTTATTTTAATTACACTTCTGTTGTTTTAACTGCATTTATTGATGTTACCAAAGAGAGTTCCAAAAGTGCTGAAAGACTCTGGTATCAGCTGGTAACATATTACATCTTACTTTTTTGGCAGATTTAATTGCAGTGGAAAGTTTCCATATAGATTGTTGCTGTGCTTAATGAACTGTGTTGTGGAGAGTTTTTCTTGAACTATGCACTGCTGTTGTTAAGGGAGATCAAAAATAGTTGTCAGTTCTCAATCAAAATTGCCCTCCATGTTAATAAGCACAACTGTGTGTGCAGTTTAATTGTGTTTGCTGTCAGAGTGCCTAGCAGCTTAGGTCACAATCAATGTCAAGAAACTGACAACATTAATTGTGGAGATAATTTGTGTCAAACCTTAATTAACAACCTTTATAAAGATAAAGGCAACAAATACTACTTTTCACTATTGCTTCTGCTGGGTTATGATTTCACATACACTACGCTGATGGTAGTTGCTTTATATGTAACAAGATGAACATATTGATAGAGTAATAAAAAGAGGAATTGCATAGTATTTACCTCTCTCCATGGTAGATAATTTTATAAATTTATTTATGTTCTAAGAATAATTTATCTTCTCTGATATCATATGACACTTGAAAAATAACTGACTTACTTCCAATATTAAGTATTGGAAGAGAGTTGTGGCAGTGTTTTTTACAGGATTTACTTACTTAATGTAGAAAGAAGCTTTGACCAAATAGATACATAACCTTACATTTTTCAGCTAGGTTATGGTCTAAGTGGAAAACAAAGATCACCCCAATTCCTTGGTTTGTGAAGTTTTTTTATTGATGTAGATAATATTAATCACACTATATAAGAAAGTGGATTTTATATGCATTTTTAAAACTTTGTTTTCCTTGAAAAATGTCCACAGATTGAAAAAAATGCATCATTAGGTATAATTGCCCTTGTTTTCTGTGTCTAATGCTATGCCTCTAATGCTACACAGCTAATAAAATATTTACTAATTGTTGGTCTAGCAAAAATTCACACAGGATGGCAAAAATACTGTTTTTCAGGTAGTTGGAGCTATTTTAAGTATTCAGCCATATTTCTGCAACTACATGATGTAGGTAATAATGTTCTGCAGAAACTAGTATGCAGGTTTTTTAAGGAGTTGTATCAGCTATACTTCTATAGTCCTTCACCAGATTTTGGACAGTTCTGCATAAGAAATTGCTGGAAAACTGGCTGTACCTCTTAGAGAAGTTATGTTTGGTGAAAGGTTTTTAATTTAATTTATTGCTATGTATGCTATTTGCTGCCTATGAGCTAATATACAGAATTACTGTGTGCTCTTGGACTTCCTCATGTATTTCTCTTTCAGTGGTTTGAGTTCTAACAGTAAATTCACAGAATGTAAAAAAAAAATTAAAGGAGAATGGCAGCGTGTCATTTTTCAGTTGGTGGCCCATGATTGCAACTTGTGCCACAGAATGTCAGTATATCAGATTCACTCAAGTCTCTTTAGGTATCACAGTGCTGAGTTAAAACAAAAAGGGTTCAAAGAGAGCTGTTTTGTTGAAACCCAGATGCTCTTCATCAGAATATGTTTTTCTCTTTTTGTGGTTCAGACATAAGGCCTGTGGCTTGGGAAAGGTTCTATAGTTTTTTCACATAAAGTATGAAAAAAAAAAACAAAAACCTTTTAGTTTTTTCACTTAAAGTGTGTTTTATTTGCTAAGATTTTGGCAATTTTTGACATCAGAGAAGTTCTTTTGCCAGGAAATTAGCAGAGTGGGTACTTCTAGGACCCTTGAGCGTTATAATTGTTAAAAACTAACACATTTTCTTGACATGTCTATTAAAGAAAGAGCATGAAGATTTTCAGGAGCATTATATATTTTTTTTAATGCCCTTTCCTTACATTAGGAATAGGGTAAAAATTTCCCCTAATGTCATTTGTAAAATGGCATCTTGGCATTTTAAACTACTTCAGGATTTCTTCCAGTGTTGCATACAGTATTCTGCTGTTGCATCCAGTAGTCTGATGAGTTTCTTACATTCAAATAAACATGCTGACAGGAAATGGTGCCTATGGAATGAACAGTTTTGCAGAGTAAGGGGTTAGACATCAGAACTAAAGAACAGCAACGCAGGAATAAAAGCTAGTAGAGTACAGGTACATACCTGTCAGAACTAAGAGAGGAAAGTGAAGAAAAGGGAAGAGGTAAGAAACATAAAGGAGCTGACTGCTGATACATGAAGATGAGAAAAAAAATTAATTGCAACAGATGTTATAGAGCATCTAATATGGAAGGTGGCTTCATAGCAAAGACCTGGGGTTTTTTCCACTTACCCACATCATATCATTTAAACTATTATCTGAAGGTGTATTGTATCTTTAGAAACTGTTTTGCTAAGATAATTATGTAAAGATTTGCAGAATTTTAAAATATTTTTTAATTGTTTAGGTGAAATCTTACAGCCTTTGATATTTTATACTTAGAAGTCATGTATTGTTTTAGTCTAAATTTGAAAAATTTGTCTCACCACAAGTGAAATGATAATTTCAATTTATTGTAACAGAAATGAAGGGAAAAAGAATTATGAATCAAAATGTCATTTCATACTTTCAAAATTGTTTCTCCATTTCTCTCCCTCTCTTGTGGTTACAGTAGTTAGATCTTTTTTTAGTTCTCCTTTCTGACATAGTAGAATTTGGGAGTGAACAGGAGCTATACACAAAACTTTACCCAAGGATATATTTCTCTTCTGAAACAGTCCTTTTTGCCTGGATTCTTAATACATAATAATTTACCTCCACCATGCAAAATTACAAAGCTTTCTCCTAAATGTCACTGATTTTAATGTCTCAAAGGTGAGCATCCTGTTTTCATGACACCCTGTGATCACAGCATCAAGTAGCTAATCATTATATTATTCCAGTTGATTGATGAGCTCATTTGGCAACAGAAGTCAAATCGTTGTTTTTTGGTTTTTTTTTTTATTCCAATGCCATCATATTTTTGTTTTAATACAAATTTCACTAGTAAAATCTGTAAATATTGTCTTGACCTTTTAGGTTTTTTAAAATAATGCTTTCTCATTCAGGTGAATGGTATCAGTAGAGAAACAAAGCTCTTTCTTTTTTGTTATCTTGAAATCTTGATGTGACTTTTAAAAAATTTATGTTTACTGCTTGGATTAATTGGGTAATTTTTTTGTTTGTTTGTTTCAGCACCACCAAAGTTTACAAGAACTCCCGTTGACCAGACAGGGGTTTCAGGAGGAGTTGCCTCATTCATCTGTCAAGCCACAGGAGATCCAAGACCTAAAATTGTCTGGAACAAAAAAGGAAAGAAAGTCAGCAATCAGAGATTTGAGGTATTAGGTCCATTGTTCTGTTCCTCTGAAAAACATTTTATTCCAACCTTGTTTTTAATTCAACTATGTGTGCTTTATTAATGGTGATTTAGCAAAATAGAATTGACTATCAGGGATAATTTGATGGGAATACTCTAGTAAGTTTTTAGTTCTGAAAACTGGTTGTGCGTAGAACTATTAAAGAGAAAACCGCTAATGCTGTTTTCTGAGCTGGCATGTTGGAACTGAGGAGCTTTGTGGTGCCTCTGTTCAGTTTGCTGAAGGCTCCTGAAGGAGCTGGTGGGGACATGAGTCGAGCTGTGACTGCTGTCTCCAGAGAGCAAACCACCTCCTTTTATGAGAAGGTGCATCGAGCAGGCCTAGGCTTTGGATGCTTCTGCTGCCACAGTTCCTTACCCCTTTTGAGTAAGGAGATGAAAGGGGCACTGTAGTTTCTGCCACTGAAGAGGAAGCGTAAAACTTGCTTGCTTTTGATATTTTTCTTAACAATAAATTAGAAAAAGGCTTGGAAGAAGATGTTCCTCTCCACAACCTTCAGTTAAAGGAAACACTGAAAATAGTCTGCTCAAAGGATTATTATTATTTGGGGGAAATAAGAAAACAAGTATTATTACCTTTTTTAGTGGCAAGAATAATTAATGTTAAATATGGATTGACCTTTAACATGGAGAAAAAATGCAGAAACTGTGAGAAAGCTTTTAAAAGAGATATCAAAACTGGCACTAAGAGTGTACAATTGTCTCTTAAATGTCTTAAAGTCCTCTATAGTGATTTTGATTTGCATTTGTGAAGATTGCTTATTCTGGCTTTCAGGTCAGTTTCTTTTAGAAGAGCTGCATTTCTTCTATAAACCAAATTTATGTTCTTGATTTTTGGTTCAATAAATATCTAAAGACATTGGGATTCATTCATTAACCAATATAATTTCTGAGTTCAACAAACAAAATCATTAATTTAAATGCTACCTCCTAGTGCCAAAAACTGTTTGCACTTTGCAGAGCATATGTAAAGCTGTAATTGGCTAGAGGGATTAATATAGAAATTTTATCATAAATTTTACACAATTTATCCTCTTCTGTTCACAGAATTTTCACTCAAAGTGAATTCTAAACAGAGAAAGATAGTGCATGTATATGTTTACTTTGTGTTATTCTGCAATATGTCATTATTTATTTCCTTAATATATTGCTTTCTAGGGACCTGTGTATCTGTTTTTAGTGAGAATAAGCAAACATAAAGTAGTTTTATTTCCATAGAAATTATTTTCATGTAACTATAAAAAATACCTTGAAACGTTTTAAAAATGCCTTTAGTGAACTGTTGAATAAACAGTATAGCCAAGTAAGATGGAGTGTATTTTGAACAAATAGATGACACTTGCCAAATGTTTTATAATTTTTATCATGTCCGCTGAGCAGAGCAGTTACAAAGTGTGCATACCAAATCATTATTTGAAACAGCTTTTCTTCCTGTTCAAAGTAAGACCATTAATTCATGCCACAGAATCTGTAAATAAGAAAAGAACAACAGTGTAGAGGAGATTCAAAAAATACATATGAAACATTGCGGAAACAAGAAATGTCTTGAGATTTTCAGCTGAATCAATAAGAAAATATTTAGTTTGGTTTCTTTCACATTAATATTTTGTATGTTTCTCTGAGTTATTTAATGATGATAGACATCAAAATGTTTTACCTGAACACCTCTCTTCATATAGTAAATGCAGCTGGAAAGGATTGTAGTTGTCCATCTTATCCACATGCTTTCCCAGGGGTGCTGGGGATTATTTTGTTGTAATTCAGTAAACTTGCACAGTCTCATACAGCGTTTCATGAAACTTGTCATGATTATTTGTCCCGATGTGAAAACAGAACTCTTGCTGGAACTTGATGTATGGAGCAACTGGGGAACAAGTAGTTTATTTCCTCTTTCTTGACTGTCTATATATTTGAAGACTATTGTCATTGAAATGTCTTGCTCACCAACTAATTATCTCAATTTATTGACAATAGTAGTGAAAGCTGGGCATTGCTTCTGAAATTAAAATATACAGTAAGACTTCAAGGGTCTTCTCTATTCATCTTTCAGCTTTTATTTATATTGTAGATATAGACTCTGCATGAGATCCTTTTTTCTCTTCCTTCAAATTAGTTCAAATAATAGGAATTACAAAAACCTGCTTTAATTTGCTGAGAAGTCCTTCTCAGAAGAACTTAAAAAAACCCCAGAAAATTGAAAAATAAAAGTTGAAAATTATGTCATTCTACCCTGTGTGCAAAAATGCTTTTATTAAAAAATCTCTGTCATAAAAAAAATAAAATCTCATTCAGTAGATGGGGAAGAGTTAGAAATTAACTAGCTGTGGTATGCAGGAAAAGGAAGAATTCATCACATGAAAAGTAAATCCCATTTATGATACATATTTTTGAGACACCAGACTTGAAACTTAATCTTTGCAATATTTACCCAATCCAGTCTGCTACAATTGTTTTCAGTGTCTATCCAGATACATTTACTCAGCATTTAGGTCAACAATGGTAATTACTCTTTTTTAAGTGTGTCTGTGAGTATTCAAATCTTGTGCTAGCATTTGTTGTCTATAAATTGTTAGTCTGACTGCTTAAAGACTTTGTTTCCTTTATAAATACCAATTTATTGAGAATTCCAGTTATTCTTTTAATTGTGCTAACATCAGGTGGATATTTTGTTTTATCTGGATTGGTTTAAGATGGCTTTACTGGAAGAACAAGTAATATACATCCTGTGGGCTATCAAACAAATTCAGTATCAAAAAACCCCTGGGTTTTTATCTTACTTTCACCTCTCCCAATCCTAAGTAGAAACTGAGAGATTCCTAAAATTAAAATAGTGAGATGCAGGGCATATTTACCATAATTTCTAACCCCAGACTTTATAGCTCTCTTCTGTCAACACGTACAGCGATCTCATAGGTTGCTTACGTGAAAATGAGACAGAAGAGGACAAACAGAGGTGCAGATAGATATCTGTAGATATCTGTAAATCACTTTGTGCATGTATATATAGATTATGGACTAATTGTTTTGTAGAGGAAAACGAAATAAAAAATTGGGACTGTCCTTTGGTTATAAGTGCCATTTATCTGATGGTAATACTGATATCTCTCAGTGATTTTTAAAATTTCTTTTTAAAAAGTAGATTAAAGAGATTACTGCTATTACTTATTACTGTGAAGGTTTTTCCAGAACCTACAAAACGTTGCAGTACTCACCAATATTTGATGTGATTCTGACTTCAGATAATGAAGGAAATAAGATCAGTTCTGCGAATTTTCTTATATAAATGTTATTACTTCTTGTGTGAATACTGAAATTTTAAAACTAAATCTTATTTAGCCTCCTAAATGATTTCTTTGTTGGATAAATTTACTTATTTTGTGGGTTAAATCCGAAGCTAAACTGAGTCGTCCTGTTTGGTTCAGAAAGTGCAGACAGTTATTAACTTTGGAGCCAAATTAGTGAGTGAGCTGCACTCAGTGAGTAGAAAGGGAATATAGCTGGCAACAGTTAAAATTAAAGTAATTTGAAGGTAAAGTACTTTAGCTAAGAGAATTGAGAGGTATTGGTGGTTAAGTTCAGAATAAGAGAGCATTAAGTCACATTTTTTTTTAGACCTCTTGTTTTCTGGCTTTTTTTTTTTTTCTTTTGTTTGTTCATTTGTTTTTTGTCCTGTATTTCTTGAAGCTATTTTAAAGTGCCCACTGGGTACTCACTGAATAGGAATGTTCCAAGTATGGCCACTTAAACATTTTCCCATATGACTGGAATTTGGTACATAAATTTGAGAAATTAACCTGTCTTTGGTGACTTGAATACCAGCAGGCCACTATTCATGAACAGATTAGCTGAGGGATAGGTATTTGTAACAACATCTGTGACAGCTTTTGTTTCCTTTTATAGGTAATAGAGTTTGATGATGGATCTGGATCAGTTCTCAGAATACAACCACTGCGCACACCCCGAGATGAAGCTATTTATGAATGTGTGGCTTCCAACACTGTTGGCGAAATAAGCGTGTCCACGAGACTTACTGTTTTACGTGGTAAGTTCTTTCTAAACCTACCCAATTCACTTCATAGAGCTCAAAGTAGTACATTGTTGTAAAGCAGAGGATCCTCTCTGGCAGAGGTAAATAGTTGTAAAGCAGAGGATCCTCTCTGGCAGAGGTAAATATAGTTCTTTTCAAATGGACCTCACTATAGTCCCAATGCTATTCATTATAAACTTTTTAAAAACATACTCTACTACAGTGTTTGTGACTTTTGACCATAAAATGGTAATGTGAGCATGTAGGGTATGACAGATTAGACTGAAGACAAGAAGAAATAAGTGAAACAGGAGTGCCACACAACAACAGGTTATCAATTACTACTCCGGCCAAACACTTTATGAATGCGTTTGATTCACATTTTAATTCTGCCCTGGGTACCTTAGCTTTGATCAATCAGAATTTACACAGAAATTTACTCAATTAACAGTGACCTTGAAAAGTTGCACGAACATTTTTTGGATGAGGTTAAACTGCTGCAAAATTTTTCCCACAAGAGGCAATCATAAAAAAGGTGAAGGCTTCTTCCACTTCAGATATGTGTCACCTGAACTGTATTACTTCAATAAGAAGATTTTGAAAACAGGATTCAATTTTTTCAACTCCATCTGGGGTGAGGATATTAATGTACTGCCAAGCCTACTGTCTAGATAATACTCAGGGGAGAAAATACTAGTATTCAAGCAATCTGAGCATTTTGTTTTGTCACCTGGAAATGAATATACACTTGGATTTGGAGACGCTTCATGAAATACCACACTCTTCAGTTTGCAGGACTGGCTTTTTGACTGAAAATTACTGTCTTGTATTTTGATATTACATGGCATTACAAGGTTTACAGAATTACTACGTGCCTGGTTATAGGAATAGAAGATGATTAAACAGCTGTACAAAATTTAGAGGAAAATTTGTAGAATGTGTAATTGCAATATGTTTTTTTCTTGATCCTTTATTCCAAACACTGTAGGGTGACAGGAAGATTTTTTTTCTTGTGTTATTCTCTGAAGTTCGATTTTTACTAGAAAAAAAGTTCTATTATTTTATTACCTATTTTAATCATCACAGACAGTCTTGACATTAATGTTGGAGACAGCTAGCAACACTACGTACATATATATCAAAAATTAACCCTAAGGATGTACTTTTTTTTTTTCTTAGAGGATATCTGATGTCAACAAACCTTTTCAGTATTTAAAAATCTTACCTCTAATGCCATGTTTGTTCCTTATATTATCTTTTAAAAATTCTTCCCAGTCTAGCCAATGAAAACAGGAAGATTGATAGATTGATGTTTTAACAGCACATGGACCTGTTCTTAACTCCCTTAGATAAGGTTTTGCCTTTATTAACTGGTAGGAGTACTTTTTATATACAGTTTCCACATTGTTGAAAACGAACATAAAATGACATTTTGTATTCCATTACAAATTTTGCAAACTAAAGGGAGATTGGGAGGCAGAGCAAGGAAAAGCAAAAAACAGCATGAAAACTCTGGTGGAGATAATATTCTTTGTCTTCATAGTTTCTTGGAATGTATTTACAAGACCACTGGTCATGAAATGTGTATGCATGTGTTTTGAAAGAGAGTGCTCTAAACTGAAGCGCTCATTTTAGCTTTTGTAGAGAGTCAGCAGCTCTCATATGTCTCTACCAAGAACCACAGCAGTTGCAAAAGATAGAGGGGGTGTCTGAGTGTCATAACTGACTGACTGTACAATGTGGTCTCTTTCTTTACAAGTCCTATTGATTATTAATCATTTTTTTGTAGCACATGTGTAGCTTTGCTGCCTATTTTTTCGTTGATAGTAAGAGCAATAATAGTGGCTCAGTGCCTACTTCTGACAACACTAATATTGCATCCTATTTTAAAAGCAATACATAATGATATGCATATGCAAATGACTAATGAAAAAAATTTATTGGTTATGAAGTTAAAATGAAAATAAATTTCAATTTTAATAATTTCTTAAATTAAAACCACTGAAATATAAAGATTGAGAATTTTATCCAACCATAATACATATGGCTTTTGCGACTGCAGAAATATGTTTGCCCCAGGAGTAGATTTTTATGGTTTTAATCTGAAACTGGGAACTTATGAGAACTCATGAACATACTGTGACTGTGGATTTAGATAAAGGGCTAATGTCATAGAAAGCAAGGAGCCTGCAGAGAAAAAGGGCATTATTAAGAAGTTTTGATGGGGTTAAAATTTGAATTGCTAAAAATACAATAGTTTGCTGCATTACTTCCCAAGACAGGCATAATTCAGTGCTAAGGGCATTAGCCTGGAAGATAATTCTATTATTGCAAAGCCTTCACTTTGCAAACTTACACAAATCTTAACCTTGTGCAGTCTGCAACAGTGGAAAACTGTTGTTTTGGAAAAATACCTCATTGATGATGCCTTTTTGGGAAAGAGTGCCTCTGCCGCACATAACTGCTGTAGGAATAAATATATACTATAGATGTCAACAGGAATTAACAAGATTTAATGAAATACAAAACAGAGTAGAGTGAGCTGGAGCTGTGGTTGCTTATGCTTTACTCATCCCTGTGGTATGTATGTGATTCTGGATTACATAAGTTATATAGCCAGAAGATGCCTATATGGCTTTCATATGTTCTTTTAATTATTCTGAAATGGTTCTGTCACAGACCCAGCTTGTCATTTTTGCCTCTTGAGAGATGTCACCAGAGGTGGAAGTCAGATTTTACTCACAATTCAGCCTACAAGTTTTGCGACCGTAATACAGAATATCAGTGAAATCAGGGTAATTCCAAGAGCAGAAGTGTCTATCTACATTCATTTTGTTTGATTTTTTGTTTCACAAATCCCAGCTTTACTGCTACAAATAATTTCTGCAGCACAGAACAGCAACATTTTTTCTGATATGTCTGTGTATTTACAGCTAAATTTGTTCGTTTTCCTCTGTGACTGTGTAGAGTAACACATGTAGTTCCATGCATTACAGATGCTACCATGTTTTCTTAGATTCCTATACTATGACCAATTTTTAGTATTTAGTTCTCAAATAATTATGAATACAAATAAATTCTTAGCTTCTAGGTGTTAGAAATCTACAGCGTGAGAAGGAAGAAGGGCAAAAAAGGCAACTACAGATGATAACATTTCAAGGCCTTATCACAGACAAAATATTGGATCCTTTTTTCTTTTACTAGAGTAAATCAGGAAACACTCCAGGCTAAGGCTAAATATCATGAGAGTATGGATCAAGAATGAATGTCTGAGATAACTGGAAACTCCTTTTGATTTTCTGTAAAGAAATTGGCTGCTTTCCATGATTGATTCACCCATATGAAAACGTTGAATTTGAAGGGAAACAAGGCTTGAAAACAGAAGTCTGAAAGTTGACTGCTGGAGACAGGCAGACAAGATGAGTCAATACTATTTATTTTGGAGGTTTTTGTTTTGAAAGTTGTGCTGAGAACTATAAGAGTTGAACGGTGCTTTGATTCTTCTATTTATCAGTGCTTAATACACATGCCTTTCTAGCCAAGAATGTCAATGATGTCCTGGGGGGCATTAGAAGGAGCATTGCCAGAAGGTTGAGGGAAGTGATCCTCCTCTACTCAGCCCTAGTGAGGCCACTTCAGGAGTTCTGTGTCCATTTCTGGACTCCTCAGTAAAAGAGACACGTGGAGCTCCTGGAGCAAGTCCAGCAAAGATCTACAAAGATGATGAGGGGACTTGAGCATCTCTTTTGTGAGGAAAGACTTGAGGAAATGGTCATGTTTAACCTGGAGAAGAGACAACTGAGAGGGGACCTTATCAGTGTCTATAACTGGAAGGAATGTGCAAAGAAGATGGACCAGGCTCTTCTCAGTTATGCCAAGCAAAAGGACAAGAGGCAACAGGAAGAAAAACTGATGCACAGATATCTGAATATTAAGAGCTGCTTTAGTGTGGAGGTAACTGTGCACTGCAGCAGATCACCCAAAGAGATTGTGGACTCTCCCTCACTGGGGATATCCAGGAACTGTCTGGATGTAATCCTGTGCAATGTGTTCTCAGCTGACCATGTTTGAGAAGGATAAAGGTTACACTAGGTGATCCCACTGCTGTGCCTTTCAACCCTATGTATTTTGTGATCCATGTATAATCAATAAAAAGCAACAGAGTGTACCATCTTCCTATACTCCCCAGACATCAGAGATGAAATAGCTTTCCTTTTGCTGTCCATTCATTTCATTTTAAAGCCACCTAAATCTATTTTTAGGTCTTGCAAATGGCGGATATCAAACATTTTCCCTAGTTCTAGAACAAGAGTTCTAGTGTTATATACAAGTCTATATTTTTTTTTTTCAGGAAGAAAGGAAATAGATGCTTTCTTCTAGTAAAGAAAGCAGCAGCAATTTTATTCAGTTAATTTTCAGGAATCCCAGTTTTCATTTAAAAAAAAAAAATTAAATTGTTATTTCTTTATAAAGTTTTGTCAACACCGTTAGGGCATGAAGAATCCTTTTCTTCAACTACTAGTTGTATGAGTAAAGCACAGATGTTTGCAGCTTTTAAGTAAAAATGTAGAGCACAATATGTATATTCTAATGTTGCTCCTGTTTGCTCTGCTTTTATTTTTGTCTGGAAAGTAAAGAGAGGGACTACAACAGGGCATTTATGCAGAAGGCAGTTTGTTTGTCTTGACCCACAATTTTCTCTTACTCGTCTTGATTGTGTTAATACTCTGCATTACAAAAATACTGATATACAGAATTGGCGTACCACAGGCAGTATATAAGCCTGAAAGAAGTAAAATTTCTTTGGGAATTGCCTAGAGTGGTTATTCCTTTTTATATTATTAGAAACTGATCAATTTAATGTCAAACATTCACTGCTGCATAAAATGAAATTTTAAAAAAAGAGAACTATTTACTGCATAGTGTTTCCCTGTCCATTGATACACACAGATACTGAGATAATTATGAGAGATTTTTATGAGACTCTAAGAAGTGCACAACATTTCTACATAAAA